CTCTCTCACCCCTCTAACCGCCCAACTCACCGCGCGGGAATTTTTTCAAATAAGTAAGTTTCTTTGGTGCACTCTGTATATATTTCAATATTGACTTGGTATTTGGAACGTTCGGACTTTCTTTGAACACATCATATAAAACACCCCAAGCTGGGGAGCAAGAGTGAAGTGCCAAGTGTTGAACTATGCTGTAACCGTTGTGAAGTCTATCCAGTGTAAAAGTGATCCTTGACAAGTTGCTAGTTTTGGTTAACTCTTCACGGGCATTCGGTGACTTTGGCTTTGTTTGGATCTTCTTTTGGAAATTGTGAACTTGGCTTTTCTCTTGGATGATTGATTTTTGGATTGCGGATTTCTGTTAATGAAAGTTGTTTGTGAATAAACTGTATCTTCACCGTCCTGAATTCTTACATATACTATAGCAGTTCTAACTAGCAACGAGGCTTAAGAAATGGAAGAAAATTTAAAACAGCTTTGGAATGGAGCAACAACAGCAGCCATCACCACGTTCTACACACTCCTTTCTGAAGTTCGAGCTGGAGATATAAATAGAGCTCGAACTACGCTAGACTAAAACATTTCTTGTGTCACGGAGACATAGAAGGTAAACAGAAACAGGAAATCTTCTTAAGCATTTTTGGGAGTTGTACGAACGGTTGAAAACGTTATTTCCTTTGAAAATGGAAGAAGTCGAGTTTGAGCAACGATGGAAAAGTTGGCTGGACATTTTGAGAAAAAAAAACTCACATAGGAGCAGCCGGATATAATTTTATTCGTAGTGGAATGCGCGCAGCTAGTTTACATAAATATTGGGTCACAGAACTTGAGGATCCGTGATATGATAGTGCAGAATACGCAGGAAGATAAAGCCTCGGATGGAGGCTCTGCAGTTAGAAGAGCTGTCATTGTCACATGTGCAGCAGATTGCCAAAACCTTTGAAATCACCTGCAGAGCGACCAAGCTGAAGGAATTTAACCGTCAACCGCTAACGAGAAACTAAAGAAAATGCAACAGAAGACACTAAGTGCATTGAAATATATTTTCAGATCGTGCCAGTTGCGTGGTCTTGCACTCAAGAGATTTATAAATACACATCCAGTCGGTATGTAAAAGAAAGAGAGTCAGCATAGTGCGGCGTGCAAAATAAGAGAATAGGGAAGTGTGAATGTCTGAATATGGTGAATGAAGTTCTAGGTAAGGAAGGAAGAGCGAAGATTTTTGTGAAGTTAGACGTAGCAAGAGAAATAGTGAAATTCCAAGTGAACACTATCTCGTTCGTAACGCTAGTTAATTTGGAAACATAAAAGAAGATGCAGCACCACAATGTTCCAAGTCCAGTCTAAAGTTGTGTTTGTTTGGTAAAGGCAATATCAGGATTGTCAGGAAAATATTACAGTGGTTAACAGTGCAGACAAATCGAACGTGAAAGGAATGGGCACTCTCAGAGTTTATTTTAAGGTTAACTTAAACACAGTAAACTTAGTGTAAAAGTGTACTCCTTTAGAGGAAATTGAAACTTTATTTAGGGAGCTCTCTTAGCTGTTCCAAGACCAGCTGGGAAAAGCAGAAGATTTTGAGACGCACATACAGTTGAATGATAGTGCAAAAGGCGCGCTCTGTACTACTGATGCTTCGGGAGGAACTAAACGAGGAACTGGTAAGATAGCAAAACTCCGGTTAAAACTAGCTCATGGGCCACACCTCTGGCCATAGTGCAGAAAGCGGATAGAAGCATACGGCTTTGGGGGGGGGGGTCAAATTCACTGTAAATGCACAGTTAGAAATAGATATAGTGGGGCTACAGTATGGCACAGTCTCTCTTGTAGCTTTCTAATTTCCTTACTGTGGGCTAACGTTTGGATCTTGCCCCATCCATATTGCCAGTAACCATTTATCGCATCCTAAAATAGATTGTGTGACGTTTTATCAATTTTTTGTTTTCCTAATTGTAGATTCGAAATATTACTTTTAAAATATTAATTAAGATTAATACCTCGTCCAATACGGAAATTTTTCTT